TGTATTTTTACTTTTTATTTTAGGAAACTTAAATATGCTGACTGCTTTATAATCTTTACTTTTATTTTTTATTTTTATTTATTTATTTATTTATTTTGAGATGGAGTTTCACTCTGTCACCCAGGCTGGAGTGCAGTGGTGTGATCTCGCCTCACTGCAGCCTCCACCTGGGTTCAAGCAATTCTCCTGCCTCAGCCTCCCAAGTAGCTGGGATTACAGGTGCCAGCCACCACACCCAGCTAATGTTTGTATTTTTAGTAGAGACAGGGTTTTGCCATGTTGGCCAGGCTGGTCTCAAACTTCTGACCTCAGGTGATCTGCCCACCTTGGCCTCCCAAAGTGCTGGGATTACAGGAGTGAGCCACCGTGCCCAGCCAGAATGCTTTATCATTTTTACAGTGCATTGTTATTCAGCATCTCACTGAGGATCCTCCTCAAATGGATTTCCTCTGGCTTTTTCTGGGTTTTGTTTGTTGTTTTGTTTTGTTTTGTTTTTTGTTTTGAGACAAGGTCTTGCCCTGTCACCCAGGCTGGAGTGCAGTAGTGCTGTCATAGCCCACTGCAGCCTCGAACTCCTGGGCTCAGGTGACCTTCCCACCTCAGTTGGTGGAGTAGCTGGAACTACAGATGTGCGCCACCACACATGGCTCGTTTTTAAGTGTATCTTTAGAGATGGAGATTTCGCCATGCTGCCTAGGCAGGTCTCAAACTTGTGGCCTCAACTGATCCTCCTGCCTCAGCCTCCCAAGTTGTTGGGATTACAGGCGTGAGCCACTATGCCTGGCTCCTCTTCTGTTAATGTGGCTTAGGGAACGGATCAACCAGTTGATGAATGGGAGAGCTGAGGGCAGGGTCCAGGGCTCTACCTTCCCTCTTCCCTTTCCTCCCAGGGCTCTTCCTGCCTTTCCTCCCTGCTCTTCAATCTTCTCTTCCTGGCGTTGCCTGCTGCATGCCAACCCCATTCTATCTGCTCTCTGAATTCACTGCAATTACAGTGTCCCAAAGCAGCCCAAGGCAAAGTCTGATTCCTCATAGATAGCCCATCACTGATGTGTGTGTTTCTCTGCAAAGATGGCCTGCCCATTTCTTCTGTCTTACATACCCCTAAGGAAGGTGAGTCAGGTGGTAGAAGACGTGGGATTTAGTACAGAGCAAAAACCTCAAAAACCACTTGCCCTTATTTTCCCCATGAGCTTGACTCAGTAACCTATAACAAAGTCGTAATTTCCTAATCCATAAAATAGGGATTACACCACATTTCATCCATTCCGGGAAGCGCACATGCCCATATTACAACACGTCTGAAATTGGGAGAGTGTTACAATTGTTTGCACATCAAAGTTGCATTAGAGTTTCTCCCTCCCTTTTCTTAGTGGTATATAAAATAATGGTGGGTCGTAGAGTTGATGAAAAATGGTAATGTATTTACCTCTTAGGGTTATTGTGTGGGCTTGAAATCACAACAGTGTGACAAAAGAAGAATTCATCTGATATTTCGGTCCTCTCCAGTCTCACTGGGAGAGTGTGTCCTGGTAGTCAGAGAAAGGCCTATGACCTACTTGAAGTCAGAGTTGTTTTTTTGTTTTTTGTTTTTTAAATAGAGATGGGGTCTTGTTGTGTTGCCCGGGCTGGTTTTGAACTCCTGGCCTCAAGCAATTCTTTCACCTTGGCTTCCCTAAGTGCTGAGATTACAGCCCGAAGTCAGTTTTAAGTAGTGGAACTAACATGAAGACCCTAACTTAACAGGAACTCTTATCTACCCTTCTAGGCCCCTAAGCTGTTATGCAAGACTTGGGGTCTCTGAGCCAATGGGATCATCCTGCAGGAAGCCTGGCACCCCTGTTCTTGAGGGAATGCACTTCTGGTGGTGGAGTATGGATCCTGGCTGGGGACTGGGCCTGTGTGTGGTGCAGGGAAGCAAAGGGCTTCTGGCTTGCCTCTGCTGGTGCCTGGGGAGGAAGCTCTGGGTCCCAGACTCCCCATATGGCCAACAGAGTTATGAAGGTGGCACCAGGCAGAGTTGGTGCAGGACAGTGTGGAACCCCAGGGTTTCTAACTGGAGAAGCCAGGGGGCCTGAAACTCAGACCTTCTCCAGCCCCATATGGTATGGAAGACTCTGACTCTTGAGAGAATGATGGAGGTGGGGGCACAGGTAAACAGCACCCTCCTCAGTAACATCATAGCCAGGGGATACTCTGGGTTCAGTGCCATTCTGACTACCATGAAGCAGTACTGGGAGTGTTAGCCCATGAGCTCCGAACCAAGACTACAAGACTAGCCTTAGACGTTTCTGTGCCTCAGTTTCTCATCTGTAAATTGGGGTTATAATATTACCTATTTTACATTATTGTAAAGATTAAATGAGCTTATAGTTGTAAAACACAAAGAACAATGTCTTCTGGAAAATAAGTGCTCAAAAAATGTGAATTATTTATGTTATTAAAAGTGTCTTTGAGTAATTCTGATTGTGTTGATTTCATGTGGATTCTGTAATTTACCCTTGGAGGTAAATTGAGTTACATCCTTTCCATGTCCTTGGGAGGAAAGTCTGTTGCTTGTTAGCATTCAGTCCTGTACATCATCCTCATCTCCTCTTTTATGCATTCGTTAATTCATTAATCATTTATTCATTTATGTTAGTCCACTCTCACATTGCTATAAAGAACTACCTGAGACTGGGTAATTTATAAAGAAAAGAGGTTTAATTGGCTCACAGTTCTGTAAGCTGTAAGCTGTTCTGGAAGCAAAGTGGTTTCTGCTACTGGGGAGGCCTCAGGAAACTTACAATCATGGCAGAAGGCTAAGGGGAACCAGGCATGTCTTACATGGCTGGAGCAGAAGCAAGAGAGAGAGAGAGAGGAGGGAGGTGCCACCTACTTTAAAACAACCAGATTTCATGAGAACTCACTATCGCGACAACAGCACCCAAGGGGGGATGTGTTAAACTATGAGAAACTGCCCCCATGATCAAATCACCTCCCACCAGGCCCCACCTCCAGCATTGGGGATTACATTTCAACATGAGATTTGGTTGGGGACAGAGATCCAAAGCATATCATTCAACTGTGAATTCTGTCTCTCTGTAGGCGACAGTTTGGTCTCTTTTTTTGTTGTTGTTGCCTTGAAACCTGGTAGGAATTCCAAATGGATACTTTCTCCTCAATCCTTTCCCTTCCCATTTGAATCATGCTGTCTCAGGGCATGCAATCTAGGCGGCCAAATAGGTTACTGGCCCAGCACTCTCATTATACAGGTGAGGAATAAGGCCCAGAAAGGGAAGGAGGCTTGCCCAGGTCTCCTGGTGAGTGACAGGGCAGGGACCCAGCCAGGTCTCCTCATTTCCGGATGACACCAGTCATCTTCTGCAGAACTGGTGCATGCTGGCTGTAACCCTGCTGGTGAGAGGTCCTGGAGGAGGGCCAGGTGGGGAACAGGGCAGTGCTGGCCTTAAAGGTATTGCCTGTTTAGGTGAGGGTATCCCGGCAGCTGGCTTCTCTACCTCATGACTGACTCTTCCTCCTGTCAACCCTTTTGTAAACATTTAGAGCAGCAAGTGCTTATTCTCAGCTAAAGGGAGCACCAGTCCTTTGCAGATGGGAGCTGCTGGGCCCCTGTTTGGAAGGTTGCCCTAATCCTGCTCTCTCCCACTCTAATTCCCTGCAAATAATCTTCCCAGGCTGGCCTTAGCCTACTTCCCCGGGTCTGGAAGGCGTATGAGGTAAGCCATTCAGCTTAATGCTGGCGTGGAGACACTCAGAACTCATAACATATTGCTAGCACAAACCACCCAGAAGGGTGGGTGCTAGCACTCCCGTTTCACAGGCCAGGAACTGAGGCTGTGCTAGGCTAAGTCGCTGTCCCGGGCCATGCAGTTCTGGGTTTGAATTCTGACACTGCACTACGAAGCTCTGATTGTGGCGAAAAATCTCTCGCCGTGAGGTGTTAATTATTAATGAGGCCTGCTCCTGCTCCTGAAGCCTGTCTGCCTTCCTGGAGAGGTGCTGGCCGTGGAGCTGGCCTCACTGCAGCCCCTGAGGGGAATGTCTGCTTAGTTTTCCTGAAATGACAGGTGCAGCGTGCCTGCTCATCACCATTGTAAAGGCTAATTTGGGAACATGCGCCATGGAGCCCACTTTAGCCTGGCTCCTGTGCACGCTTGTGCTGGCCAGCGTGTGGGTGGGTGGCTTCTACATGTTGGCTGGACCACCTGCAGCAGAAGAGCTGACTCAAGCTCATCAGAGGCTTCAAGAGCTATTGACTCATTCAACAAACACTGATCTAGCACCCACTATGTGCCGGGCACTGTTGTGAGAGGCTCAGGAATGTTAGTTCTCATAACAACTCTAGGAAATGGGTTCCGTGATTATCCCCAGTTCCTCTGTTTATGGGTGGGGAAACTGAGGCACAGAAATGAAGTTACTTTCCAAGGCCACACGGTTGGCCGATTGGCAGAGCTGGGATTTTACACACACTATCTGACTCCAGAGCCCTCATGCTTGGAACCACCACACTGTGTAGTCACTGTTGAAAGTCTGTTCGCATGCAGCCCTTAGAGATGGCTGGGATAGAAATGGCCAATCCCCCAAAAGATACTAACCGGAAAATCAATACCCGAATTGCAAGGGAGAAAGGCAACAGTGCCCAAAGCAAAGTACAGCTAAAGCCTCTGGGACTTTGGAGGAAGGGAGACACATTTGATTAGCTAATTCAATACATATATATGTGTGTAAGTATATATATGTTGCTTTTTTGTTGTTGTTGTTGTTGTTGTTGTTTTGAGATGGAGTCTCGCTCTGTCACCCAGGCTGGAGTACAATGGTGCAATCTTGGCTCACTGCAACCTCCGCCTCCCGGATTCAAGCAATTCTCCTGCCTCAGCCTCCCAAGTAGCTGGGATTACAGGTACCCGCCACCACATATGGCTAGTTTTTTGTATTTTTAGTAGATACGGGGTTTCACCATGTTTTCCAGGCTACTCTTAAACTCCTGACCTCAAGTTATCTGCCCACCTTGGCCTCCCAAAGTGCTGGGATTACAGGCGTGAGCCACCGCGCCTGGCCATATATTGCTTGTTTAGCTTTATTTGTTCACTTGTCTGTTGTCTGTGGCCCCACACTCAAATGTAAGCTCCATAAGAGCAGGAACTTTGTCTTGCCACCTCTGTATTCCCAGCATTTACAATAGTGTCTGGAAGGTAGTAGGTGCTCAATACATATATATTGTTTGATAAATGTGGCAAGTTAAAGATGGTCATAAATTCTTTGCTAATTCTCTCATTTGAAACATGGGTCTAATTCTCCTCCCTTTGAATTCAGGCTTGCCTTAATAATGACTTGCATCACCAATAGAACATGGCAGAAGTGATGTTCTGGAACTTCTGAAGCCAAATCGCAAGAAGCATTGCGGGTTCCATTGGGGTTTCTTAAAATTCTTACTCTAGGAATGCTCTCTCTTAGAACCTGGCCGCCTTGCTTTGAACAGTCTGAGGCACATGAAGAGGCCACATGTAGAGACGTCAGTCAGCAGCTCCAGTGGAGCTCCCAGGTGACAGTCAGCATCAACTGCTAGTCACAATAGTGAGCCAGTTAGGACATCCAGCCCAGAAGAGAATTCAGATGACCACAGCACCAGCCAACATTTGATTACAACTATGTGAGAAGCTCCATGTGGGAACTACCCAGCTGAGCTCAGTCAATCCAAAGAATCATGAGAGAGGCAAGTGGAGTTCTGATGTGGGATGAGAGGGGAGGCGGCCACATACCTAGGATAAAACAGCATGTATATCCTGGGCTCATTTAAGTAAGATCGTATATGTATGTGTGAACATGTAGGAAGAGGGACTTGGAAGATGGTCACCAAATCGTTAATGGCAGTTATCTCAGGATGGTGACAACCAGGTGACCTTCACTCTCTTTATATCTTAATGAACTGTTCAGGTTTTTTACAATAGGTATATATTATTTATATAAGTACATATAATCAGTAAAGTTACTGAGGATGGAGTGGGAGAAAAACAATAAATTGAAGTCAAGGTATTTCTACAACACAATGGATACCTTTGAAGATTGTTATGGCGACTATGTTTGGGTGGCAAAATTAAGAGGACTTAAAATTTTCATCATTAGGCTTCTGTTCAGATCCTGGTTCAGGTGAGGTTAAGGAACTTACCCAACATTGCAAGGCTGGTATATCAGTCAGGGTTTCTACTTGAAACAGACACCATCTCTGGCTAACTTAAACATAAAAGAAATGTACTAAAAGGTTGGACATCTATTCAGGATAAAAAATCTCAGTGAACTAGAGTTCACTAAAGGAAAATTTCCTCACTGTAATAAAGAGCATCTACAAAAACCTATAGCTAACATCACATTTAGTGGTGAGACACTGGACACTTTCCTTCAAAGACTGGGGAACACTCAAAGATGTCTGCTTTTACCACTCCTACTTAATACCTTAGTCAGTACAATAAGGTCAGAAAAAGAAATAAAAAGCATAAGAATAAGGAAGAAATAAAACTATAGACAATATGGTTGTCTACATAGAAAAGTCCAGAGAATTTCCAGACACTATTAGATGTAACAAGTCAGTTTATCAAGAATGCAAGATACAGATAAATATACTAAAATCTATGTATTTATTTAGTTGTATTTTTTGTGCTAGCGATGAACAATTAGAAATGAAAGTTTAAAAAAAAGTTAACAATAGTATCAAAAAGCATGAAGTACTTAAAGATAAATAATGCATAATATTTGTAAACTGAAAACTACAAAACACTGATGAGAGAAATTTTAAAAAGACTTAAGTGATATATTCCATGTTAATGGATCTGAAAACTCAACATTGTCAAGATGCCAGTTCTCCCCAAGTTGATCTCCAGGTTCAATGCAATCTCAGTCAAAATCTCAGCAGGCTTCTTGGAGAAACTGACAAGCTGATTCTAACATGTATATAGAAAAGCAAAGGACCTAAATTGGCTAAAACAATGTTGACAAAGAAGAACAAAATTGTAGGATTCATACTACCCGATTTCAAGACTTACCATATAACTATAGTAATCAATATAGTTTGATATTGGTGAAAGGGTAGATGCATAGATCAACACAACCAAAAATAGAACCCAGAAATGGACCCATACATATATCAATTGATTTTTGTCATAAGTGCCACAGCAATTCAATAAAGAGAGCATAGTCTTTTAAACAATGGTGCTGGGACTATTAGACATCTATATGCAAAAAACCAAAAAAGCCTCAACCATATCATACACAAAAATTAATTTGAAATAGGTCATAGATGTCAACGTAAAAACTAAAACTATAAAACTTCTAGAAAACAGGAGAAAATCTTTGATACTTTGGGTCAGGTAAATATTTCTTAGGAAACAAAAAGCATGAATCATAAAAAAATAATAAGATGAACTTCATCAAAATTTAAAACTTCTGCTCTTTGAAAGATTTCTGAAAATAAAAAGACAAGCCATGAATTGAGAGGAAATATTTGTAAAAAAAAAAAAAATCTGATAAAGGACTGGTAACAATAATGTATAAAGAACTATTTAAACTCAAAAATATAAAAATAAATGACCCATAAAAAATTACCAAAAGATTTGAAAAGATATTTCACCAAAGAAGATGCGAGAACAGCAAATAATTACATGAAAAGATGCTCAACAGCATTTGTACTTAGACAAACACAAATAGAAATCATTATGAAATATCACCACATACCTTTTAAAATGGCTCAAAAATGTTTTTAATTTTTAATTTTTAAAAAATTTCCATAGGCTTTTGGGGAACAGGTGGTATTTGGTTACATGAGTAAGTTATTTAGTGTTGATTTGTGAAATTGTAGTGCACCCATCACCCAAGCAGTGTACACTGTACCCAATTTGTAGTCTTTTACCCCTCACCCCGCTTCCATCCTTTCCTCCAAGTCCCAAAGTCCACTGTATCATTCTTACGCCTTTGCATCCACATAGCTTAGCTCCCACTTATGAGTGAGAACATACAATGTTTGGTTTCCATTCCTGGGTTACTTCACTTAGAATAATGGTCTCCAATTCCATCCAGGTTGCTGTGAATGCCATTATTTTGTTACCTTTTATGGCTGAATAGTATTCCATGGTATATATATACACCACAGTTTATTTATCCACTCATTGACTGATGGGCATTCAGGCTGGCTTCATATTTTTGCAATTGCAAATTGCGCTGCTATAAACACGTGTGTGCAAGTATCTTTTTTGTATAATGACTTTTCCTCTGGGTAGATACCCAGTAGAGGGATTGCTGGATGAAATGGTAGTTCTACTTTTAGCTCTTTAAGGAATCTCCACACTGTTTTCCATAGTGGTTGTACTAGTTTACATTCCCATCAGCAGTGTAGAAGTGTTCCCTTTTCACTGCATCCCTGCCAACATCTATTATTTATTTATTATGCAGTTTCACTCTTGTTGCCTAGGCTGGAGTGCAATGGCGCAATCTCGGCTCACTGCAACCTCCACCTTCTGGGTTCAAGCGACTCTCCTGCCTCAGCCTCCCGAGTAGCTGGGATTACAGGTGTGTACCACCACGCCCAGCTAATTTTTTGTATTTTTAGTAGAGACGGGGTTTCACCATGTTGACCAGGCTGGTCTCAAACTCCTGGCCTCAAGTTATCTGCCCACCTTGGCCTCCCAAAGTGCTGAGATTACAAGCGTGAGCCACCGCACCCTGCCTATTTTTTTTTAACTTTTTGATTATGGCCATTCTTGTAGGAGTAAAATGATATCACATTGTGGCTTCAGCCTCCCAGGCAGCTGGGACTACAGGTGCGTGCCACCATGCCCAGCTAATTTTTTTGTATTTTTAGTAGAGGCAGGGTTTCATCATGTTGGCCAAGATGGTCTTGATCTCTTGACCTCGTGATCCACCTGCCTTGGCCTCCCAAAGTGCTGGGATTACAGGCGTGAGCCACCACACCCGGCCAGAATCTGGCATTTTCAACTGCTAGAGTGGGAGGCAGGCTCCACCTTTTCGATGGGAGATTCACCACAAAATAAAGGGGTTCAGATGCTGGGAAGCAGAATAAATGTACACCATGGCCAGTAAGTATGAAAGTTGGGTTTCCAACTGTATCTTTCCAACAAGGACCAAGCCATTAACTGCATACTACGTAGCAGATCTTAAGGTAATGCCTAAATGATGCTCCCAGGATCCAGAACCACTTAGTTCTGGGTTAAAAGCTGTGGACAGACAACCACATACCACAAACAAAAATTAATTTGAGGCAGGGTGTGGTGGCTCACACCTGCAATCCCAGCTCTTTGGGAGGCTGAGGCAAGCAGATCACTTGAAGTCAGGAGTTCGAGACCAGCCTGGCCAACATAGTGAAACCCCATCCCTACTAATTATATAAAAATAAGCCAGGTGTGGTGGTGTACACCTGTAATCCCAGGTACATGGGAGGCTGAGGCAGGAGAAACACTTGATCCCAGGAGGCGGACGTTACAGTGGGCCGAGATCACATTACTGCACTCCAGCCTGGGTGACTGAGCAAGACTTCATCTGAAGAAAAATAATAATAATTTGAAATAGGTCATAGATGTAAATGTAAAAGCTAAAATTATAAAACTTCTAAGTAACAGGAGAAAATCTTTGATACTTTGGGTTGGGTAAAAAAAGCATGAGTCATAAAAGAAAAAATAATAAAATGCACTTCATCAATATTTAAAACTTCTGCTCTTTGAAAGACTTATGAAAATAAAAAGACAAGATTTCCTCCCAGAAAAGAAATACTTCCTCCCAGTCTGTGGCTTGTCTTTTTATTTTCATGTCTTTATGAAATATACACGTGCACTCTGTCCACCGTAAGAGTGGAGAGCTCGGGGCTTCCTGATGGCTTCAGCTGGTTCTGTCCGCCCTGCCCACACTGAGGTCTCATCAGGGCCCTTCATTACCATGTAAAGAATGTCCTGTTTTAGGCCAGGCTCAGTGGCTCACACTTGTAATCCCAGCACTTTGGGAGCAGAAGTGGGCAGATCACTTGAGGTCAGGAGTGTAAGATCAGTCTGGCCAACATGGCGAAACCCTGTCTCAGCAAAAAATACAAAAATTAGCCAGGTGTGGTGGCGTAATCCCAGCTACTCGGGAGGCGGCTGAGGCAGGAGAATCACTTGAGCTTGGGAAGCAGAGGTTGCAGTGAGCTGAGATTGCACCACTGCACTCCAGTCTGGGTGACAGAGTCAGACCCTATCGCCAAAAAAAAAAAAAAAAAAGAAAAGAGGTGTGTCCTTTTTTGACTTAGAAGCAGACAAGTCCCCCAAGAACAGAAGGAGGAGCAGGAGAGGCACCTCCTCACTGGTCCCACATGCCTGGGGCTGGAGCTTTGAGTAGAATCAGTATCCAGAAGGAACAGGAAGGAGGAGATGAAGGGCAGGCTGGTAATGAGGAGGAAGAGAAGAGGCCAAATTGAGGTTTTGAAATAAAAACGCTTTCCTCCCCTGTGTCCTCCTTAGCCTGTTTCCAGAGAAGCTCTGGCTTAAGGCCGACCAGGCTTCTCCCGCTTCCTCCAGTCTCAGCCTCTGTTGATCCCCAATGCTGCTTAGTCATCTGTCTGCTTCCTCCCTCCAGATACCTGGATTTCTTTCTGCCTAGTTCTTTCTATCCCTCAGTGCATCCTCTCAAAACTCAAACAATCCTGGGCCTCATTCTCCAAACGCCCACACACCTACCAAACAACACCTGCAGCCTCTCTTTTCAAACAGAATAACACAGCTGTGAGAAAGGTATGGATTCCCTAATTCAAAATCAGCAGAGCCTGAGGGTGCCTCGGGAAAAGGAAACCCAAGAAGAGCAGAGAGGAAAGGGGAGAAAGATGCAGGGAAGCACTTGGATGTACCACCACCAACCGTCTCCAGCCCTTCTTCTCCCCCAGCCAAGGGCTGACATGGCCAAATACATGACATTCCTATCCTCCTTTGCAACAAAAATGGGTGCATATGCTCTAATGTTGGCCAGTGGGACCCATAGGAGGAGGAGTTTCTTGGTGTTCTCTGGGTAAGGTTTTCTTCCCTAATTCAAGGAGATGCCTGGGTGGAAATGCTCCTCCTCTCTAGCCAAATATTGTCATGTCCATATGCTTGAAACAGGGCCCCCAAAATCTGGCCAAAAACTGGCCCCAAACCTGGCCATAAACAAAATCTGTACAGCACTGTGACATGTTGGTGATGGCCATGGCGCCCATGCTGGAAGGTTGTGGGTTTACTGGAATGACAGCAAGGAACACCTGGCCCACCCAGGGTGGAAAAACCGCTTAAAGGCGTTCTTAAACCACAAACAATAGCATGAGCGATCTGTGCCTTAAGGACATGCTCCTGCTGCAGATGACTAGCCAGACCCATCCCTTTATTTTGGCCCATCCCTTTATTTCCCATAAGGAATACTTTTAGTTAATCTATAACCTATAGAAACAAGGCTTATCACTGGCTTGCTGTCAATAAATACATGGGTAAATCTCTGTTCAAGGCTCTGAAGGCTGTGAGACCCCTGATTTCCCACTCCACACTCTGTATTTCTGTGTGTGTGTCTTTAATTCCTCTAGTGCTGCTGGGTTAGGGTCTCCCCCACTGAGGTGGTCTCGGCATCCATATGTGATGTTGGAACCATCGTCTTGGGACCACAAGGACAAGCTTAGGACCAAGCCATTATGCTGAGGAAGGCTGAGCACACACATGGAAAAGAGTCTGGGTCTCTGATGACATCCTTGAGTACCAACCCTGGAGCTTCCCTAAGGTAGATTTTCTGATTATGTGAGACAGCAAAGCCCCTTATTGTCTAATCCCCTAGCAGTTGGGTATTTTGTCCCAGATTGGAGTGCAATGGCACCATCATAGCTCACTGTAGCCTCAATTTCCTGGGCTCAAGTGATCCCTTTACCTCAGGCTCCTGAGCAGCTGGGACCACAGGCATGTGCCACCACACCTGGCTAATTTTATTTTTGGTAGAAGCAAGTTATTTTTATGTTGCCAAGGCTGGTCTCAAGCTCCTGGGCTCAAGTGATCTGCCTGCCTCAGCCTCCAAGATGTTGGGATTACATCCCCAGAACTTTCAGGGTGCCCGACATCATACAGGAAATGCTTAATACATGTTTTTTAGAGCAGATGTTTCATTACATCTCTTTTTTTATTTTTTTGCCTATAAAACTAAAAAGATGTGTGAGATACCGTGCTCGGTCAGTTGAAAATATTCTGACAGACACAGAGAAAAACAGCATTTGCTAAATTTCCCTGTTTGTAAGACTGTGCCAGGGCTTTATATAAGGTAATTGGTACATTACCCCTGTTTTACATGGGAGGAAATAGAGTCTTAGGTTAAATAGCCTGCACAAGTTTACAAATTAGGCATCAGAGGCAGGACTCCAGGCTATCGTGACTTAAAAAACAGAACAAAACAAAACGTATTGTCCGTCAACAAACGAATGGGTAAACAAAGTGTGGTTTACCCATACATGGAATATTATTCAGCCTTAAAGAGGAAGAAAATTCTGGTATGTCTTACAACATGGATGAAGCTTGAAAGCTGACTAAAATAAGCCAAAAACCAAAGGACAAACATTGTATGATTCCATTTATATGAACTACATAGAGTAGTTGAATTCATAGAGGTGGCAAGTAGAATAGTGGGTACCAGGGACTAGGGGAGTGGGAACGGGAAGTGATATGGTTTGGCTGTGTCCCCACCCAAATCTCATCTTGAACTGTAGCTCCTATAATCCCCATGTGTTGTGGGAAGGGACCCTGTGGGAGATAATTGAATCATGGGGGCGGTTTCCCCCATACTGTTCTCATGACAGTGAATAAGTCTCATGAGAGCTGATGATTTTATAAGGGGTTTCCCCTTTCACTTGTCTCTCATTCTCTGTCTTGCCTGCTGCCATGTAAGACGTGCCTTTCACCTTCTGCCTTTGTTGTGAGGCCTCCCCAGCCACGTGGAACTGTGAGTCCATTAAACCTCTTTTCTCTATAAATTACCAAGTCTTGGGTGTGTCTTTATCAGCAGCATGAAAACAGACTTTTTACAGGTACAGAGTTTCAGTCTGGGAAAATAAAAAAGTTCTGGAGCTGGATGGTGGTGATGGTTGGGCAACAATGTGAATGCACTTAATGCCACTGGACTGTCTGCTTAAAAATGGTTACAATGGTAAATTGTATGTTGTATATATTTTATCCCCAAAGAACTAAAAAAAGAGATGAAATGAAACTTCCGCTCTAAGAAAAAACAAAATGTATAAAGCATTTCCTCTATGATGTTGGGCACCCTCCAAAGGCTGGGGATGTAATGCAAAGGAGACTGACGAATCTGGGCTTTTGTGGAGCTTCCAGTAGGAGAGGCTGGCAATAAACAAGTAAACTAATAGGACCGCTGCAGATTAGTGATCATTGCTAGAATGGTAATAAATAGGTGCTATGATGGAAAATAATTGGGGTTTCTGGTGTGTGTTAGGCAACATTGTAGATAGGGTAATTAACCTCATTGAGGAGTCGTATTTGAACAAAGGCTTGACAGACAAGAAGGAGCCACCATCATTATGTGAAGGCACAAGGAAAGGCTTTCCAAGCAGAGAGAGTAAGAAGGGCAAAGTCCCTGTGGCAGGAAAGAACTGGGGACATTTGAGGCCATTGTGATTGGAGCTCAGAAGCTTGGGTTGGAGAAAGTCAGAAGCCAGATCCTGTGGGGCCTGGTGGGCCATAGTGGAGGGTCTGGATATTATTCTGATTGAGATGAGAAGTCACTGAAAGGCATGATCTGATTTACATTTTTGGCAGGTCTCCCTGGACACTGCAGAAATTGGATTATAAGGAGCAAAATGGAGGCAGCAAGACCCGTTGGGAGGCCATTGGTGTGGCTCCAGAGAGAGGTGATGGTGGCTGGGAATTGGGGGTGGTTTAGAGAGAGGTGAACAGATTCCACTCAGGTTCTCAAGACACAAACAACAGGGCCTGCCAATGGGTTGGATGTGCAGGCTGCAGAAAAGGGAAGAATCAAGGCTGACTCCTAGGGGTGGGGCTTGGGCAACGGGACAGGGGATAGGGGTATGGTGAGGCCTTATGGAGAGGAAGAGGTTTGGAGCAAACTCAAGAGTTCTGTTCTGGATCTCGAGACAGTGCGCTCTTTTCCTCTTTCCACTCCACTCCGTCATCTTCCTAAAGTTAATAAAGTCAGAACCCTAAACCTATCGGCCCTGTGGGCAAATCTAAGTGGTGGGCGATATGACGTGGTACTAGGAAGCATGCGAGGGTCTCACGGACAGCACAAGCTGCAAGGGAGTATTTTCTCATCACCTCAACAGTGTTTAGAAAAGAGAAGTGCTACCATTTGAACACTGAAGTTGGTACATTAGCACAGTGTGGATAGGGCTTTCCCAGGAGCAGATCCTGAGACAAGGGTGTGTGTGCAAGGAGTGTGATTGGGAGGTGACCTCAGAAGGTACTGGCAGGAGAACAGGTGCGTGAGGGAGGGGAGGGATGAACCAAGTCAGGGTTTGTCAACAAGCAGGTTATACTGTGGACAGCTGGGTGTGGTCCTGCTGGGACATCTGGGAGAAAGCATCGAATGTGCACTGAATTGCCCCTCCCGGGGACAAACACTGGGCTATTTATCTTCCAGGTCCTGCTCATCATTGACTGAAGGGTAGACCTGGGGGCATCAACTCTCCAGCATCTGTTGACCCCTCATGCTGGCCCTCGAAGAAAGCCTGCCAGTGGAGCATTGCAGGTTTTTTCAGGAGGAACCTGCTGGTGAGTGCCAAGGGGACATGGAGGGGGCCTTGATAGTTTCTGTTATTGCTGATCCCCATATCATGCTTTTACTTCTGCTAATTCTTTACAGCAAGTCTCAAAGCTATTAGACGGTACTTTTCTTTTTTTTTTAATTAATTAATTAATTAATTATTATTATACTTTAAGTTCTAGGGTACATGTGCATAACGTGCAGGTTTGTTACATATGTATACTTGTGCCATGTTGCTGTGCTGCACCCATCAACTCGTCAGCACCCATCAACTCGTCATTTACATCAGGTATAACTCCCTAGACGGTACTTTTCAAAGTGTAGTCAATAGATCTGTGTCATCAACTGTTTGTTACCGTTTGAAATAAAGAATTTGTAAATCACTCCCTTGCTTGCTATAAAAAATTAGCTGATCTAGACGGTGTGCCTAGTGATGAAAATGAATTTACATTCTGTGAAAGCTCCTTATCATATCGCATACTGGGAGCAAACAGTTCACAGACCAGGACATTCTGCAGCACTGTGCTCAACTGTGAGATCCCTGAGGACAGGTCCCATGCACATTCATCTCTGCTTCCTGAGGGCCTGGCACAATGTCTAGTACAGAGGAGCACTTGGTGGGTCTGTATTGTCCCATTGTACAGATGAGGAAACAGGAACACGGAGGCGGTGCTGTAGTTGGGGTGTTTGTCCCCTCCAAGTCTCATGTTGAAAATTGATCCCCCATGTTGGAGGTGGATCCTAAGGGGAAGTGTTGTTTGGGTTGTCGGGTGGATCCCTCATGAATAGATTAATGCCCTCCTTGTTGAGGGAAGTATTGAGGGGGTAGTTCTCAGTCCATTAGTTCCCTTGAGAGCTGGTTGTTAAGAAGAGCCTGGCACCTCTCCCCATCTCTCTTGCTCCCTCTCTTGCCATGTGATCTCTACACACACAGGTCCCCTTCCACCATGAGTAGAAGCAGCCTGAGGCTTTCACCAGATGTCCCATCTTCCAGCCAGCAGAACCATGAACCAAACAATTCTCTTTTCTCTATACACAATCCAGCTCCATTTACATATAGCAACACAAAATGAACTAAGATAGGCGGCCTCTCATCTCTGGGGCTTGGTGCCTCCAAACTTCAGTGCTGCCTCCTGCCCTGACAGATCCACTTGGGAAGAACTCTCTCCTAGGAGGGTGACACTAATCAGATTCAAGTTCAGTGTCATTTCCTCTCCCACTCTAATAATTGTGTATTAGGCAGTGTCTATTTCTAGGGACAACTCATGCAGCCAAAGATCTTCCCCATCTCTGCTTCTGCCTGGACCAGGTTTCATCCTGTTCCTAGGAGGACACCATCGAACACTCTCTTGATGAGACTAATGCTGATTCTATGATTCCACCATGAAATGGAAATCCCAGGTACTGAGGCATTGCCTTTTTGTGGTTATTCTTTTCAACCACATAAGGCTGGCAAAGGACTCAGAAACTCCTGAGAGTTCCCAATGAAGGAAAACTTTAATATTTGTCACAGTAACTCATGGACAGATGAATGGGAGAAAAGTCACAGAAGTGGTGATGGGAAGAAGAAGGAGAGGATAAGGGCAGAAAGAAGAGAAGTGGAAAGATGGAAACACTTTGTTCATTGGTAAGTCATCTGTTAGGACCTTTATGGTTCCGTATCTAGGACTGTTATTTTCCTAAAGTTGGGACAGCTGACTGAGATTCAGGATTTTCACAATTTTTAGCCAGGGGTGATAATCTGGCTCTGCCATGGGTCAAATTCCACCACTACAGACTTTCGTTTGGCCAGCAAGACATTTTAAAAATATTTGCATTTCCAATGGCTAGGCTAGGTTAGGTTATACTGCAGTAACAAGTAACTCCCATGCCTTAGGCGCTCAACACAACTAGAGTTTATTTCTTGTTCATGTCACATGTCCGAGGATGTATTCTTCTCATAGCATCCACGCAGGGACTCACGCTCTTGGCAGCTTTCTCTTGACATGGGCTTGCAGGGCCACTGCCACAGTGAAGGCAAGGAGGCAGAGTGAATGGCTCACTGGTTCTCGAGTCTTTGTCCTGGAAGGTCACCTGCCACTTCGTCTAGATTTCATTGACAGCACAAGTTGCATGACTCTCCTAACTTCAGAGGAAGAGGGGAAGGTAAACCGTAGCAGATGCCTGGAGAGCTGATCAGCTCTAATGGGGCACAGCACTGATGACAACCACGGCTGTGCCCTCTGCAGCTGGCATGATCCCACCCTCCCTATTGTCTTACATTTTATGTTACCTTCTAGTTCCAAAAGGCACTCTAGCTTTAGTGTAGTCTGGAATGCGAACATCTCGGGAGGGATGTTCATGATCCTGTCTAATTGGACAGATGGACTGGGAGGGGAGAGGGGCTGGTTCTAGACCTGTCCATGGTGGAGTTGCACTCTAGTTTGCTAACCCCTGAGCAGGAGAACTTGAAGCATTCCATGCCCAGCTCTCTGGCACTCACCATTTAGTAACTCAATCTCACTCCTCAGGCATAATCACTAGCCTTTTGTTCCTTTTAACTTGCCCACTCTACCACCTGTTCATGTTGGATTGTTAGCTATTTACTGCACCTGGGCCCTTCCATCAACATAACCTGACCTTCCTTAAACCTTCTTCTTTTTTTTTTTTTTTTTTTTGATGGAGCCTTGCTCTCTCGCCAGGCTAGAGTGCAGTGGTTCGATCTTGGCTCACTGCAATCTCTGCCTCCCAGGTTCAAGTGATTCTTCTGCCTCAGCCTCCTGAGCAGCTGGGACTACAGGTGCACACCACCATGCCCAGCTAATTTTTGTATTTTTAGTAGCGATAGGGTTTCACCATGTTGGCCAGGATGGCCTCGATCTCTCGACCTCATGATCCACCTGCCTTGGCCTCCCAAAGTGCTGGGATTACAGGCTTGAGCCACTACACTCGGCCCCTTATTCCCTCTTTATCTGGACTACTGTCTGTTGCCAATCAGTGTCCTCTTCAGTCACCATGGTCTCTCCTTAGTATAGGAGGCCTTTTGGGGGTGCGCCTTCCACTGCTTCCTTCCCCTGGCCTACCCCCAGCCTCCATTCCTCACAACTCCACCATGGACAGGTCTAGAACCAGCTCCTCTCCCCTCCCAGTCCATCTGTCCAATTAGTCAGGATCATGAACATCCCTCCTGAGATGTTTGCATTCCAGACTACACTAAAGCTATGGCCACATAAACGATACAGCCATCCGCTATTTCCATACGCTTAGCCCCCCAGGAGGTATCTCTAAGATTGATGTAACACCTGCCTCCGGGCTAAGTGCGGTGGCCCATGCCTGTAATCCCAGCACTTTGGGAGGTGAGGTGGGCGGATCATGAGGTCAAGAGTTCGAGACCATCCTGGCCAACATGGTGAAACCCATCTCTACTAAAAATACAAAAATTAGCTGGGCATGCTGGCGCGCGCCTGTAGTCCCTGCTACTCTGGACGCTGAGGCAGGAGAATGGCTTAAACCTGGCAGGCGGAGGTTGCAGTGAGCTGAGATTGTGCCACTGCACTCCAGCCTGGTGACAGAGCGAGACTCCGTGTCAAAAAACAAACAAATAGACAAACAAAACCAAAAAAAACACCTGCCTCTGTTCTGCCACAGTAAGTGTAGAAATATTATCTGTTCCTACTTGAGGTGCTGACCTGAGTGCCTCCCATAGCGGGTGAAGGGTGGAAGTGAGGGGCATTTCCAAAAAAAGAGGGTGTTGGGACCTGGATGAGCTGGTGAAACATTTGCTAATGACAGTGCAGCAGGGCGTGCTGGGGTGTGAACCTGAAAATGGTCAAGGGGAACCAAAGTCAAGGCCAGGAAGACAGTGCTAAGTGCGAGGGGCAAGGAGAGGATGGGAACTTAGGGCACAACCCGGGAGGGCCTATGCCAGGAGGCTCAAGAGTAGAATGAGAGGGAAGGTGTGGGTGGACAGGGTGAGGTTCAGACCCAGGCTGTGAACAGCCCAAGCACCCTGGGCCACCTCGCTTGCCTCCCTGGCTCTCCGCACCTGGCAGGCACTTCTAATCCGGTGTCTAGAAAAGCTGACTGAAGAAACAGAGGCAAACAATAGCTGAAAATCCATAGGCCTGTTGCTGTGGTGGTTCAGCACCGTCTGAGTAAGTGCAGTGAACCAAAGGGCAGGACCAAGAACACGGCCCCCGAGGGTGTTTGGCTGGAGGGGAGGGGTTTGGCATGGGCTCCGGGCTGCGGGCTCCGCAGAGGAAGGGAACACGTGTGGAGTCTCTCTCAGGTCCCCCTTGGCCTGGCCCTGCCCAGGCAAAGCACAAGGCACTCTTTGGGGACACAAGGGCACCAGCAGGGCTGGTTTGATGCTGGGTATGAGCCTAGGTGTGGGACAGGGGGAGGAGGAAGAGGAAGAGGAGGAGGAGGAGGAAGAGAATGAGGAAGAGGGGGAGAACTCTGCTCCCCGCTGGCAGATCCCAGGGGGGCTCCATGAGGACGCGCCAGAGGGCAGCACACTCTGTGACCCTTGGGACCGGCAGCTGGGGAGCGCTGTGGGACAGCTCCCTGAGTGACGTTTCCCTAAGGGTGCCTGTGAGAATGGCTTCCAGGGAGCAGGCCTCATAATGGTCCCAACATCCTCTTATTCCAGAAATGCCCCTCACTTCCACCCTTTACCCGCTGGGTGGTATTCAGGTCAGCACTTCAAGTAGGAACAGATAATACTCCTACCCTTACTGGGGCATGGGATGGAGTATGAAGGGGTCGCCTCCAGGGCTCCCCAGGCTGTTGGAGGGTATTGCGCCGGGGTGCTGCTGTGATGCCATGGTGAGGGGAGGAGAAGCTCTTTGCACTGGGGCTATGTCCTACTGGCTAGGGAAACCTCAGGTAACATGAATGCCTCACCTGGAGCCTACAGTTTCCCTAAGGAAGTGTGGAGCCTTCACAGGCAAACCTCAGCCTCTCAAGGGTCTTCGTGCATCCTTTGTGGTCTTAGGGTCGGAGGGTCGGGGGAGACTTCTGTCTAAAACGTTGCACTGCATCCAACATGAGGGCGGCACTCCTGGTTCTCTGCATGCCGGGAACGCCCCAGGGCTCTGGCTTGTGCTCCCAAGCTCCTCGCAGGGTCCCATCCGCTGGG